CAAACTCAGAGCCTTGACTGTTCCCATGCCTGGGGGAGGATGCTGCCATGGGAAAGACTTGATTAACCTCTGCATGGCATGTCCTGGCACCACAGATACCAAATGATGCCTGAGGAGCCGGTGAGCAAGGCAAAGATGGGGTTGTGATTGCAAGGAAATCACTCAAAAGAAAAATGCTGCCCTCAGCGGCCCCACAGAGATGGAAACTGGGGTTTGGCAAACTGGGGAGCGGCTTTTGGAGGAGTTCAGCTTTGCGCATCATTGCAACTTCACAGAAACATGAGGAAATTTGGGGCTGAAAGCTTTAAAAACTCGGATGTGACTCCCGCCTAGGCAGAACATTAAACGTGTCTTTAAACCAAATTTCTTTTATCTTGCCACATTATTGTAAGATCCTGTAAACATAGCCAACTATTTCACATTGGAAAATGTTACAAAAGGCTTCCAGAATTAGGATCTAATTTTCTTATTTGAGACCCCTATTCAGGGCACTCCTCTGGCTTTAGCTGTGATCCGCTGACTCGATGGCTCACGACACTGACAAGGAAGGTGTCCTCCTCACCAGTTTTAAGCACAAAAAGTTTTAATGTGAGGAAGATTCAAAAAGTGGAATTTGCACACTAATTTAAAACTAGAACACTGCACGCCCGAGTCACAACTGTTGTCTCCTTTTCCTCTCTCTTCTTCTTCCCCCACCATCCACCTCCTTTTGTTGTTCCTAGATTTAAAGATCAGCCAGCTTTGTTTGCTATCCAGCCTTATTTTTGGGGTAAAAGGGGTCGATGGAGAAGCAGGAGAAGGGAGGGATTGGCCTGCATCCCTGTTAAAACCCAGGAGCGGACAGCCAGCTTTCCTCTGGCATCGCCTTTCAAAGCCCATGCCGCAGTCAGCATATTGAATATTTAATGTCCTGATGAGCATTTCCACCTGCTGACACAGGCAAAGTGACAGAACAATACACGCGCTGGAACAAGATCATCAATTGACTCCCCAGTCAGTCTGCCGGGTCAGGCAGTTAAAAAAAAATAATAATATAAAATAATCTGTCTGTCTTTCTCCCCCGCCTTGCCCGGGGTCACACATTGCTCCTCTGAGAAGGATTCCCACCTGAAATACATACTTCTTTACATTCCATAGCTTGCCAGGTTCATATGGGCATATAAAGAAGTATGTCTCTCAAGCAGGTAGTTTCAATATGCGCATTTATATGGTCACAGGAGGAAAAATAACGCTGATTTACAATTTACATCCTGAGAGTGAGTTACGGCTCAGTTCAAACCAGCAGACTTTCCTCCTGCCCAGCCCATGTGCAGACAGACACACATCCCAGCTCCCTATCCTTGCCCGTAATGCTGGGCTGAGCCCTCGGCACATGATGGATTTTGGGTCCTGGTTAGGGGAATGGCATAATTCACTGGACACAAAGCAGCAGAGGTCCAGTGGCTGCCCTAGCAGGGGCTCTTTGAAACGTAAACGGCACAGAATAAAAGCCAGCCTCCCACTCCACCTAAAAAGTAGGTGTTTCATTCTACATCATAAACTTCCAGCATTTAAAAAAGACAAAAATGTGGTTTAGAGGAAAGCCTTTGCTGTACACGCATATGGGTTTCATTCCAGACAAAGCCATGTGGGAGAAAGTTAAATATCTATCAATTCCCAATTGCCTCCATCCTACAATTTGGAAACAAAAAGCCAATTTGTTTTCAGAAAGCTAAGAATCGAATGGCAAGCTACTGATTTACAAACCACCACAGGGAAGGACTGCTCCTTTCGCCAGAGTAAGAGAACTCATCAGCCCCAGACACGCGATTGCTTTATCAGTAAGTAGAGATTAAAGCATAGGAAGAAGAAAGCATCTTACCTAGTGAATCCAATGATTTTTCCTCTGCTGGTCACTGGGAGCGAGACACTACCCCCACAGATAACCAACCCCAAAAACATAGCACACGCCTTTCGGCACGTTGAGGGCATTAAAAATAAAAAAATAATTTAAAATTGCTTCTAATAACTCATCCGGTTGAGCTCCACGCCAGCTAAGGGGCTTTGGGAAGACCTGCAGACATAAGAGGCAGCCAAGGCGAGGTGCTGGGAGCTGGGGCCAAAGCCTTGCCGAGTTCTCCCCGCATCCCGCGCGGGCTGCGCGCCCCGTGGGGCTCGGTCCCGCACGCAGCCCTGCCTCTGCCTCTGCCCCTCTCCCTCGCCTCCCTCGCAGCCGTGCTGAGCTTTAAAGCTCCCTGAACAATGTGGGCCGAGTGGCAGGGCTGCGCCGGCCGCCCGGGCTGAATGGGGGACTATAATGGGCAGGATTTAGGCAGCAGCGCGGCGGAGGTCACGGCGGGCGCTGCCTGCTCGCTCAGCAGGGCGGGCACGGTGCCTCCTCACCTGCGCCGATCGATACCAATTTACAGGCAAATGTGCAATGGCTGCCTCCGTGTTAATGAATTTTACCGTTCCTCACAGTCTTCTAATGAACCCTTTAAAGAGGGTTTAAGTAAACTTAGCAAGTGGCAAACTAAGCGCTTTGGAATACCTAATTGCATCGATGCGTCTCACTGCTTTTTAAAATATCACTGCCGGCTGGGGAGCAAATATTTCCCTGTGCCCCATCGACTTCCAGTAGTACTGAAAAGCAAAGGCCACACAGAGCCTGGGTGTAAATCCGCTGTGCTCTGCCCCAAGCCCCAAAAATCGATTCACACCCCTCATGCAACACCAGCACCTGCCTCGGTCCTGGCTCTGTGCAGCTTCCCCCTCATTCCATCAGTTTGTTGGCCCTTTTAACCATCATTATTTGTCTCATTTAAAGGCAAATTTCAACCTTTAGTTTGGATTAAGGGGAAGAGAGATGGAGCTGTGGCATTGGTGTAATGCATGACTGCAGTGAAATTAAAGCAAAGGGAGAGCTGAAGAGTATAAAGGAAAGTCTGAGCAATTCAGATTTTAAAAAACCCAAACAAACAACAAAAACAAAGTGTTGGTGGTGGGGTGTTGCACAGCCAAGCGCTCCATGGTATTGAATTTCCTTCAGACTGACAGCAGTAGGACAGCTACTGGCCTTCTTGGGCTGTTAAACATCTGCACCTTGGACACAATTTGATTTCCTCAAATGCATTGACACGAGCTGTCCTAAACAGTCCCCAACTTCTGCAGACCAGCGGGACAGGACTGCCAGCCACTTAAAGCGAGCCCTGTGGAGGAGCTTTAAAAAAATGACCTTATAAATCCTTACTAGAACTGAAGACAATGACACGACCACAGCAGCAGCGTTCATCGCGGCGACTGAAATTTGCTTTGAGGTTCTGGGTGCAATCTTATGCTTTCCAGGGTTGTGCCATTTGGTGGAGGAGCAGACAAATGGCCGTGATGGTGCCTTTAATGTAACACCAGAGGCACCCTGTGGATCCCATCCTCCAGCTACCACCAGGAGTAGAGTGGTGGTGGGTGAACATCAGCCACTATCCTCAACCCACTTGGGCTCGCTGAGCTCCTACGCTTGCTCTTGGCAGAAAAACATGCGCAATAAAACTGTGGCTGTTCTGGAGAGAAAAATGGATGGAGACCTGGATCATGCAGAGGCCAAGGGGCAAAGAAAAGGGGAGGGAAGAGCCTGAGGTATTGCCTGAAGGCGAAAGGGGAAGGAGAGGGGTGAGAGGGATGGAAAGCAACATGCTGTATATTATATTCCTGCTCTGCCCAGGGCTCAAGGTGCTGCTCAGGTCCAAGTGTCCAAGTCAAACTGAAGCTGCGCAGCACAAACCTTTGGGGACTTTGTATCCAGCCCCTGTGTAGGGCTGGGCACTGGAGAAGGGAGATGCCAGCGGGGCTGAGGCAGAGGCAGGTGCTCGTCCCAGCACAGCCCATGGCAGAGAGACTGGGCTCAGACCTTGGGAGCCACAGACACAACCATCTGCTCGAGAGGAGACCAGCAATTAAACTGACAGCACAAATCACGGATTTCTGCCTATACAATTACACAGAGCACACTCCCTCAGGCACAGGCACACATATACCTGTATCCACACTCCCCACACAGCCTGGAGATAGGCTGTGTCTGGGTGATACATTACACCTGCTTGTATATAGCATTTATATACCTATGCATAAAGATGCATATAAAATATCCATATGCATGCTATAAAACGTACCTAAATCTGCATGAGTGTGTGTGTGCAACACAGTATGCACCTCACCAAACTGGTGTCTATATATTCATGTGATAGGTACCACCACTATCATATAAAATATAATGACCACAGTCAACTCTGAGTTGCAGAAGCAATAACAGTCAATTGATGCTACACTTCATGTAACCTGAATTCCAAGCCCTTGCAGGGAAACCTAACTTCTCCTCCTCCCCATATTCCCTTTCTGATAGTCCACAAACCATGCACCTGCAATTAATACTCATTTCTCGGCATTTTAACAGTTAATCACTACAGCATTGAGATCATTGCAAGTTAGGCTAAGTTTAACCACCTCTCACCCTTTTGCTCTGCCTGATATCAGCTTATAGCACTAGTTTGTTGCAATAAATAAATAAAACCCCAATCCCCCCAGGTGTCATTAGCCAGCCTGTGTCTGAATTAGGCATTTAAAGGCCGGTTTAACCTTGCAGAACGGTTGCATGTCAAAGTTCTAACATTTCAGTTCAGATTATTCTAGTGCACTGCTTGCTCTGCAGTTTGTTAGTTTTTGGTTTTTTGTTTTTCCTTTTTTTTTTTTTTAAATGCGGAGTATGCCACAGCAGAACAAAAAAAAGAGGGGGTGAGGTTTCCTAAGCGATCCACAGATTAAACACACACCCAGCAAATCCCCACACAGACACACACACACACATACATTTGTGTATGCAGAAGCCCACATTTAAGTCCCCGGGTAAGTTGGATTGGCAGGTAAGTCCTGCATTGGCCAGGAAAAGTGTTTAAACCAAGCTGAGCTGGTAGCGGTTAAAGGCAAGACAGGGAGCAGAAGAGAGGGGGGAAAAAAAAAAGAAGACATACCAGTTAGGAGCTTCTGTTGCAGCAGAGGACTCACCAGAGCACTAGCTGAAAGCTGAATCAGCTTTCGAGAGTTAGGGATGCATAGAGGAGGGTCATGGAATCACAAGGTAATAATGCGCTTCATGCTGCAGCCGTCAGCCTTCTCCTTATAGCCAATCTCTAATGCAGGAAGGGAACAGAGAGCAGGCCCAGGGATGGGATTAGTCCTCACTTGGAGAGAGAGAAAAAAAAATTAAATAAATAATAGAAAAAAAAGCACAAGTGCCTGCGCCCCCCCCCACCCCCCCACTCCTCCCTTCTTCCCTCCTCCTCCTCCTCCTCATTGTCACCCCCCCGGGGGTCAGCCCGGGCTGGGGGTCAGGCTGCGGGGGGATGCACACGGCTGGGGGGGCTGGCGGAGGGAGGGGGCAGCTCTGGTCAGGACGCGAGTCCACCTTTCCAGTGCTTATATACCCAACGAAGCATCCCAAACACGCACCCCCGGGCGCGCGGCCCCTGCTCCTGCTCTTCCCTCCCTGACCATATTTAGTCAACCACGGCAAAAAATAGCCCGTCAGCTGGAGCCTGCCGAGCAGGGCTCGGAGTTCAATCGCTCCTCGCAGCCCATTGACTACTGGTCCTGCAGGGTCCTGACTCTGCCTTTTTTTTCCCCTCTGCTATTTTTAGCTAGGCCAAATAAAGAGGGAGCTCATCTTACTACTCTGCGCCGGCCCGAGGTTTCGCGGGGCCCTGGCTATGTTTGGTAAGTGCCAGCGTTGAGAGACACAGAGCGGAGACCTTGTCCATGCTGGAAAACCTTAGGCTGTCTCCCGCTTTGGTTCTTTTCTTCTCCTTTCCTTTCTTTCATTTGTATTTCTTCCTCTGTGCTAGAAAGGTTTCCAGGTGAGAAGGTGGGGAAGAAGCTCAAAAGATCCCGATTTTCACCTTACGGAAGAAAGAAGTGCATTTCAAAAACCTCATGCTGGGGCCAAGTCCTTCACCACAACGTCCTGGGCAGCTCATTGTCTGTCCTCTTGTGTCTCCAAAGGTGCTGAAGGCTGGGAAGGTGTTGGAGTTTTTCTGCCCTACATGGAGAGCACTGGGGAGCCTCATTGCCAGGCAGGGAAACCCTCCTGTCAGGGTGGCTAATGTGGATCACCAGCACAGCAGTGTCTCCTGGGTTATGAGGCCACAGGATCTTTCCAACCTCCAAAGTTTCATCCCGTGGTACAGCAGGGAGGGGAGATTTTGGCAGTGCAGGCACTGCCCTTGGCTTGTGCCCAGAGAAGCAGGTGAACATCTCTAGAAACTTGAGTTACACCCAGACTGAAAGTGAAGATGTCCAGGGCCCTGGGGAGGTCACCTGGGGATAGCAGATAAATGATGGCAGACGTGGCAATGTCTGCTCAGCCAACCTGTCCTGCTTGCTTGCAGCACACCCCCGTTCTGGAGCACCTCCCCAGCCCCATGTCCCTCCCTGCCAAGCTCTCTGCAGGTCTCTACACCTCACTGAAGCTCCCCAGAAGGACCATGACATCTCAGACCCCAAGGGCACCTCACGCCGCTGACAGACCAGTGTTGTGGGTGGGCTTTGGGGGATCAGGGCTGGAGGGACCAGACCTGGCAAGGGATGTGTGCGTGGTGGTGTCTGGATGTGGATCTGGGTCGGGAAGTTTGCATGAGCCTGGTGAGGTGCCCAGCACCCTCTGCTCCTATCAGCAATCCATGGATGTGGATTTGTGTGTGGCAGGGACAGCCACCCACAGAGACCCAGCACCGTGACCCCAGAGGACACCTCCACTTAGGACATTCATGTGAGACCATCAGGCAACACTCGTCTGAAGCTGTTAGGAGCTGATAGCAAGACATCTAAGGATAGGAAATGCCTACAGGAACCACCCCATAGTGCCACGAGGTGGAAAGGACTCCCAGGAGGTCCCAGAGTTGTGTCCCTGTGCTCTCGGAGGTCCCCAGCTCCGAGGACAATGCCAGAAATAGCCACTACCAGTGACATGTCTTCTCTCTGTCCTGGGCTGCCTTGGCTTTTTCTCTGTCTCAGCCTGAGCTCTGCTGGAAGCTGGATCCCCCCTGCTGCCCTCACTCCAGGACAGGCTGTTCCACATCATCAGTGTTTGGACAGCCCAGGACAGGTGTGTGGCAGCAAAACCACAAATTCTGGTGTCCTGTTGGTGCCAGAGCCATCTCTGCAGTGACCACAACATAGGGCAGCCCTCAGGCAGCTCTGTCTGAGCCCAGGAACCAAACCTGCCACCCCTCATGGGACTGGCAGTGGGACAGAGACTGTAGGAGGGCCTCTCCCCCATCCCCACTCCTCTGCCCCAACATGGTCCTTGTGATCACCGCTGTCCCCTCTGCACCCTCAGCTCATTTTCCCATGGGGCAGCTGGGAATTTCTCCACAATGCCATAAACCACTGTTGGGTTTTTCTCCTTCCTTTCTCCATCGTTGCAGGGATGTCCAAGCTGCTCCTCCCGGGACATCAGTCAGGACTGTCAGTGCTTTCCCAGCCTGTGCCTTTTCAATAGCTGAAGCCATGGAAGCTCTTCTCCACCCTGACTCACCTCAGGATCACCCCAGGAAGGCTTTTACCCAAAATACCAGCCCAGCCAGCACAGGGGAGCATTGCCTGGTACTCCCTGGGGAGCACTTGGGGATTGTGAGAGCCCGAGTGCCAGGAGCAGCAGGTTCTCATGCTGCTTTGGGGTACATCTGAAATCAGAAAGTGCCCGGGGTGTGCCCCAGCAGGACCCTGCCCAGCCCAGGGGAGCTCTTGGGAACCACTCACTCTTAGAGCACAGCCATGCCCTTCTTGGGATTGAGTGAGTTGTTATCACCTCCCTGACAGGTTCCCCGGGGTGGAGAATCCATCCTGACACCGAGATTTGTCAGGAACAGGAGCAAACTATAAAGGGAGATGAACCAACAGCAAACCTCTGAGATGTGAATTAAGAGGTTGTTTAAAACCCAAACTTGGTTTTTGCACACAGATTTCTTCTCTTCACTAATTGCTTTAAAAAACGCACTCACCCCTGAGCTCCTAATGGGACTAAAATATCTGTGTTCTCTCCAAAGTACGTGGCATCTTTTTATCAGGACTTGGTTTGGGGCTTGTTCCATGGGCTGATAATGCTGGGAGTTTGGGATGCAGGGAGTGCTGGGAGAGATGGGGCCTGGATGTGCAACCACCACCGTCAGACAGGCTTTAGATATATGTGTATATATATTTTTTTTTCATACATATATACACATATACCTAATAATATATTCATGTGTGCACATAATAATTCTGCATTAAAACTCCTCTAAATGAAGAAACCTGAGGAAGCTTTTCAGCAGCCTGTAAAACTGAGCCAGTTCAAAGTGATATGTGAGAGATTGCAACACTCCAAAGAAAATGCAAGATGTTACTTTAAAAGAACCAGGCTTGGGCTTTTGAATTTATGTAACCTAAACTGATTTTGTCTGTTTAAAATTGTTGTTGCGTGTTGGGAATCTCAAAGAGGTGAGGAGCAAAGCTGCAGACGTTTCCTTTGGAGTCCAAGATTACAAGCCCCTTTGCTTCTCCCTTCAGCTCCAAAGCTGTTAATGGTTTGCTTCATTTTATTAACAGCAGACAAGAAAAAAAAATTCCTCCTTGGAGCCTGTGTGAGGTGACAAGCTGGATAATAACAGCTCCTTTGGAAGTTTTTATAGTGCATTAGGCAAACATAGTGGATGTTTATAGACTTTTAAAAATGCTGATTATATAAAAATGCATTTATAGCCTTCTAAAATACCAAGCTACTGTAATATAAATATTTCCAATAATAAAAACTAAAAACGCGAATTATTGGCTTGATTGGGGGATTTTTTAAAATTGATTTCTCCTTTTCTTTGGGCCAAAAGCTGATCTCAAAGCATAAGACTGGCCAACACCCTGTGCAATGAGTCAGGTCAGTCAGGCTTTCACATCCTGCAGAAGATGCTGCACTGTCCTGGGATGAAGCCAAAGTGACTGAACCATGCACCCCATTCCCCTTTCCAGCACCTCAAACCCCTCTGGCGCAAGGGAGCTCCTGGAATGCCCACTGCACCTCCCAGCAACCTGCTGGCCCAGCCACCTCCCCTGCTGCTGGTGCTGAGGAGGCTCTTGGTCACCCAGTGCTTGGTCTTCCTCTGTTCTCCACAAGAACTTGTATGAATAATTAATTTTTTATTGGCACAGAAGCCTGAGTGTGGCTCTGTCCTGTTCCAAGCTGATAAGGTTGCTGGGGGTGTGCCTTCTCCCTTTCTTGTCTTTTATTTTTCCTTACTTTGACACAAAATTCCATCAGTAGGTGGAATTAGCTTTGCCAATGGCAGTTGTCTCAACACACATAAATTCTTTCAAAAAATTAAGCTTCTGACAATTTGGCATGTTCTTACCAAAAAATATTCCAAATACTTAGTGAAAAATGAGTTATTCTGTATTGAATAAAGGCAATCCTTTTTTTTTTTTTTTATTGCTTTGTCTTTCATTAATAATTGGTAATAATTGGGAAAGACCAACTCTGGGCTTTGGAGCTGCCTGCAAATTCCCCAAAGTCAGCATGATATCAGGCTTTTAAAACACACAATACACAGTTTAACCCAAAAGAAAAGGATTTGTTTCAATTTCATCTCCCTGGAGCTAATTTTCTTCCTTCTGGTCATTTAAGTTCTATTTTTTATATAAAAATCAATTTTTTTTTCAGTGACTCACCTCTCCAGTAACAGACCCCATTGCAAAATTTCCCATTACTTAAGAAAATCTCAGCCCCAGTGGTGAGGAAGGATGGAGGGACGATGCTGCCTACAGCTCTGCCACCAGATGAAAGCAGCAATTGCATCACCATTTTGCAACATAACAGTGCTTAAAAACACATCTCATAACTTCTCCCAGAGGCCAGCTCCAACCTCCTCTGCTGTACACAGACATAACCCATCTGTGAGACACACACAATTCATGCCATGTAATGAAAAATGTGGGCTAGGGTTTGGGGGTTTTTTCCCCATGCCTTTTTCCTTTAATTTGGTGTTTCTAACAAGAGAAAGAAAATAAAATTGTTTCCCAAACTGGTGACAAGCGGAAGTGATGCTCATTGACAGCACAGTAGTGACACCTTTTCCCCTCAAAACCCTAATGTGGGAGGCAGGGTTGTGTTGTTCTCCCTTGTTAAATTGGGAAACTGAGGCAGGAGGAGGAGCTGCTTTGCCTGGGAAGGAAAGGAACAGCCAGGGGGTGCTGGGGCTGTTCCCCAGCCACCTCCAGGGCTTATCAGCCTCTCACTGTTGGCAGATGAAACAGTGACATTAGAGATAACTGAGCCCATTACCCACAGCTGACTTGTGTCCATTCACATGTTGGGGGATTTTTTTATTTTTTTTTTGCTCAGCAAGATGTGAGGGTTGGGTTTCTCCTCAGCTTTTCAGAAGCTGTGGAATGCAGCTGTGGGATGGTCTCCCAGGGATGAAATACGGCTGTTCCAGGGGCTGGCTGGGAAGCTTTGGCTCTCTCTGTATGCACATATATGCAAATCCAGCATGTTGTGCCTGCAGTTTGCATGTGGAATATAATACTCTTGTTTTGGAAGGTATTTCCCTG